TCAGGCTCGTGGAAGAGGTTGTCACAAAAGTGGGGGTTGCTGTCGAGGTCGTCGCTGAAGTGGAAGACGAAGTCACGGACGTGGCCGTTGAGGTCGAAGATGCTGAAGATGTCTGGGTTGTCGTCGTCAGTGTGGCGGTAGTGAGGGCAGTTGTCTTAGATGTAGTTGTGAGACTCGTTTCGGCGGGAGATGTGACAAACGCAGTCGTAGAGGTAGAGGATGTGGAGGTTGATGAAACCGTGCTTCGCGTGATCCTGTGGTGAACTTATGGGTGAAACTAAGGTTGCGGGTGAGACTACGGGTGAGGGTGGGCCTAGCAAGCCTAAGAAGGCAAAACCAAGTATGAAAAACAGCCCATTCAGCAGTCTAAGCTCAACCCAGGTGCGTGGCGGACGTGCTGGAAGCACTTGTTGTCGTCGTTCTGCTGGTCGTCTCTGTGGTGCTTGTTGTGCTAACGGCGGCGGTTATGCTAGAAGTGCTGCTGGCGGTTGATGATGAAGTGATGCTGGACGTGGATGAAGTCTCCGTTGAGGAGACTGTTGATGTTGTCAGGGTCGTGGTGGTCGTGGTGGCCGTTTCAGGGGCTGATGTTGAAGAGCTCGTGCTGGCCATGGACGTATGAGACGCATCCAACCTCCACAGCGAATCCAACAGGCCCTGGTTTTCATCGTAGCCACCGAAGGCGTAGAGCCTCCCGTTCACGGGATCCCAGGCCACCGCACCTCTGTTTAGCGCAGGAGGGCCCGTCTCAGTGTACTCGCTCCAGCTGTTGGCGCTTGCAGAATACAAGAACAGGGAGTTCAGCTTGGAACCGCCAGAACCAGCAAAACCCAGCAAGGCCCCCGCCTGAGGATCCCAGACTGCGGAGGCGTAGCTCCGGGCCGTGATGCTGCCTGATGGAGCAAGCTGGCTCCAGGCGCCGTTATAGCTCCACAGGTCACTGAGGGTTGCCGCAGAGGAGGCACCGCAACACATCAGCATACTGCCGGTAGCAGGATCCCAAACGGCCACGTGACCGTCGCGCGCTACCGGGCCCACTGCCGCTGGGCTGGACCAGCTGTCTGTGGCCCGGTCGTACTCCGCAAGGCTATCCAGCTTGTTCAGCATATCGTCCAAGCCCCCGAACACGATCATCCGATCGCTGGTGCTGTCCCACACCGCCGTGTGCATTGACCGCCCTGCAGTGCCGGTAAGCTCGGAAAAGGAGTCGAGTTGCACATCATAGCGATGGAGATCGTCAAAGGTGTTGCCAGCGGAGTCCGCAGTCGTGCCTGCAAAGACGTACATGGTTCTTGCCGTGGGGTCCCACACTGCAGAATGGCCGTATCTAGCCGCGGGGCGGGTTTGAACCGCGGGGCCCAGGGCTTTCTGCGTCCATTTGTTTGAAGCTGCATTGTAGAAGTACAGTTTGTTGTTGTTGGAGTTTCCGCCACCAAACAACCAGAAGCCTCCGTCGTCTTCGTCGGTATCCCAGACCATCGTGTGTCCACTCCGTGCGCCTGCATTCCCCTGCGGAGACAGTAATGTCCAGTCGTTTGCAGATGCCAAAACTGCGATCTGCAAGGCGAAAAGAATGAAACGAGAAGCACTCTTGGAGCATGGATGCTGGAACCATCGGCTCATGGGGAAGGCGGGATAAGGCGGGGAGCCAAGGTTCAGCTGACGTCGTAACTGACTATCATCTTTTGCTTTCAAAGCTCAACTCTTGGAAGGTCTGAGACCTAGAGAGACAGCAGCACCTGCCAAGAGGGCAGCATGTGTAGACATCAGTGGCAATATGCCCTCTGCAAGTAGCGAACCTCACGTACTAGCTAAAAGCTGCAAGCTTGCTATGAATATCCGACTCCCCGACAGCATCGCTCAAAAAAAGCAAAACTGGTCAGCCAGGTTTTCCCTGTTGCTTGAGCCGTAGCAGCCGTTCGCGATTCTCCCCCACCCAGCTGA